ACACGCCGAAAATTCGCCCGCGCCCCGCCTCCCCCGGTGAGGCCCCGCCCCCGCCGGGAGGGGCCCGCCCTGGCGCCCGGGAGGACTTTCTGGCAAGACGCCCCTTGGACCCCCTTTTCTGCAGAGGACGGCCCTCGGAGGGACAGGCACGAGCTGGCCCCCGCCCTCTCGGGGCGACCCTCCCCGTGTACATAGCTTCCCTCAGCGGCTTGCGCACCGCCGAGGGTCAGGCCTGAGGCTGCGCGTGCCAGGGGCCCCCGCGGGCGGCTGCGGGGTGAGGGGCACGGTGCCCAGCCCCGTCTTGAGTGTGGAGGGCTCAGTAAGGCTGCTCGGGGGCCCCGGTTGGTCTCTGAGCCTTTTTCACAGTCCATAAGCAGTCTTTGTATCAATTATGTCACACTAATAGAAACTTGGCACGAGGGGCACGGTGCCCAGCCCCGTCTTGAGTGTGGAGGGCTCAGTAAGGCTGCTCGGGGGCCTAGGTTGGTCTCTGAGCCTTTTTCACAGTCCATAAGCAGTCTTTGTATCAATTATGTCACACTAATAGAAACTTGGCATCCTTCTGCCCCTGGCAGGGGCAAGCACAGGACAATGGGGCCTTCAGCTGGAGCTGAGGACTTTTGTAAATGCACTAAAATTCTGAGATTACAGCTCTGCTTCTCGAGGGAGTGGTCTGTCGGTGGGCCAGGCTGGGGCAGAGACCCCCATCCTGAGGGGTGGGCTGGGAGAGCCCTGAGCTGGGGCCAGACAGCCCACCACCATCGGGCCAGCTGACAGAAGCAGCCTGTGCTGTTCTGTAACCCCCCTGGGGACCCGGGTTCTTTCTTCCCACCCTCCTTTAGTGCTGACTGGGCAGTCAGTTTTATGCACAGCTTTATGTGGGGCTCTGGTGAGTCTATGATACATAAATTTACAGTTCTGATACCCGAAGTCCTCAAAGCAGGAGGCAGGGTGACTGGGCCAGGCTTCTCGGTGGGAAGTGTGGTCCTTGAGGTAGAGTCCAGGGGTGGGGTGGTGACCAGCACTCTTGGGGAGAGATTTCCTTTGGGGCAATGGCAAAGGTCCTCAGTGCTCCTCACACCTCTCTGAAAGGGAAGTAGGTGCGTGTTAGGCAGAAGTCAAGGGCAATGAGGGTGAGGGTCTGGCATGGTGGGGGAGAGTGAGGCTAAGGGCCCTTCCCTCTCCTCGCCCTTACCTCCCCAACTCCCCTCTCCTCTGCCCGCTCCCATGCTGGCTTCCCTTTGGCACTTACGACGTGGAAAGAGGGGTGTCCAGCTGTATGATGTGGGGACCCCGCATTCTTTGCAGTTGGGCCCGAGTCAGCTTCCGAGACTCTCTGTCCGCAGGCTCTGGGGCTCCCTCGAGCCTTTGGCCGGCCAGTTCCTCCCTGATCTCCCTGAGCATGTCCTCAGCCCGGAGGTGGCGAGGGGAGGGGGTGTGGCCAGGTCCCAGGGAGAGAGGCCCCTCTTCCTCATCCGCGGAGGACTCCCAGGGGCTTTCCCCAGCGGAGTCGGTGTGGGTTGGGGAGGGGGGGAGCTGCCCGCGCAGGAGGGCCCGGTGCAGGGTTTGCGCCACCACATTCCCTCCCACTGAGGTCCCATCTTCTTCCTCAGACCAGGTGGGTGTGTCCCCCCTGGGAAGACTGCCTCCTCTTTGGATCCCTTCTGGCAGATTGGGGGCACTTCGGCGTTGAGGAGCTTGGGGGTCAGGAGGCTGGGGGCGCAAACGAACATCTCGGAGGTCCAGGGTGGAGAAGGTGAGGCGAGGGTCCCGCCGGAAGGCCCTTGAGCGTAGGCGGCTCAGTGGGGAGTGAGACCCCTTGGGGGAGCCTGGGATCAAAGTGCTGTAGCCAGAGTCTGAGGTGTCATCTGGTACATAGGGAGCATCTTCATCCGTGTCTTCAGTCACCACCAGGTGAGGGATGATGGTTGAGAACTCAGGAGTCCTACAATTAATAGCAAACGGTCAGAGTCAGATGCTTCGGGGTCAAGTTCAAGTCCAGGAAGTCTCCCTTGATCACTACATCCAGAAATGGCCCCTTCTCCAAACTTATTTTGGTATCGCCTTTACCACTGCACTGTGATCGTTTTTCTCATCTCACTGGCTAGACCAGAAGCTCCTAAAAGAGTCTGGGCTGCCTCTAAAGCCATTTTACCCACAGCACGTGTTCCAAGACCTTGTATCAAATAGATGGTCACGTATTTGCTGAGTGGTTCCTGACCTCCCCTGAAGTTACCCCCAGTGATGGGTTCTTCTTTTCTCTTTAACTGTGCTGCTATGCAGCTGTGTTATCCTGGACGAACCTCTCACACTCTCTGGGAATTTGGACTAGCTGGATCCTGGCAGCTCTGATATTCTGCAAGTAAATTGCCCACTTCCCTCTGGAGACTGCTTCTCTCAGGCAATTCATGTGCACGTTCCTGTTTCTTCACCCTGTGCCAGCCCTAGGCTGGCTAACCCTATAGTCTGTCCCATGCCCCCCTCCACACAGCTGGTATCAACCTGTTCTACTCCAACCCACAGCCTGCGTGTGATCCTCTATCTAGTCCCAATTCTCCCCAAACCTGTAGTGCCATTTTCTAGCCTTTTGGGCTCCTGCTTTCCTCCTCCCTGCCTGCGGTCCCCCTACTTTGGGAGACCCTGTGGACCATGTGGGTCTTACCTCCCTTCTGTGCTGCTCTGAGAGCCCTCCTGGGAAGGCGTGGATGGTCTGGTGCTGGGGGACTCCCTGTCCCTGTCCCGATAGAGGGCCAGGAGCTCCCTCTTATGTTGGATGTACTCCTCCGCCTTCAACTTTTGTAGGGTGACCTGGGGCAGGGGTACTTTCATTATTAAGAGCTTTCATTTACTGAGCACTTGTACGCCAGGCACTGTGCTAAGTGCTTTACATACATTATCTTGTTTAATCTCCTCAATGCTGTGAGGCAGATATTTTACCCCTACCTAACTACTGAGAAGTGGAGACTGTAAGGTTAGGTAACTGCCTGAGTAAGAAACAGTAAGAAAGTGGGGTAGCACCAGGATTTGGTGGCACCAAACTCAAGAGCTGGTGCTGGGGGTGGGTGGGGTGAACAGAATGCCCCTTTTCGTACCTGTTCAGTTCTCCCTGCTTCTCATGCCCGCTTGGCAAACCCTTTGTGAGGTGTGCCCCCTCCTTCAGGAAGCTCTCCCTGATTGATGGTGATGGTGGTCTAAGTTCTATAAGTGGTGCTGGGGTCTCAGGTTGCTCCTTCAAAAGCATCCCTCTCCCACGACCTGGGCCTCTGCTGTAAAGCTGGGAAGAGCAGGAGGGCTGAGGGTGGGCAGGGGCAGGCTTTGTCCTGGGCTGAGGGCTCTGCTGTCCTTCAGAGGAATGACAGCAAGACTGTCCATAGAAGGAAGAGGAGAGACTTTACATTGTCTGTCTTCTCCCCTCAACATTTTCATACAGCTGCCATCAGGATAAAATAGGGACATCGGAGGTTCACAAAACACTTTCACATGCACGTGGCCATTCGATACACACCGTTTCCCTGAAGGGTGGAGTCATGCATATTAACCCATTCTACAGACAAGAAAACTAGACTCAAAGAGGTGAAGTGACTTGCTCAAGGTCACACACGTAGAGAAGCAGAGCTGGGCCTGGGCCTTGCTCTTTTGAGTCCCAGTTCAGTAACTGCATCGTTTTTCAAGGGCAGCATGGCAGGGTGAGAGTTACCAAAGGACCTTAGCTGGGGGAGGGGGAAGGCAGGCAGCAGAAACCAAGGAGGGGCTGTGCACGGAGGCTTGGCAAAAGGGAGGCAGCGGTGGCTGCCGTGGGCAGGGCAGCGCTGACATCAGTCCTCGCTGGAACGCCATATCACTGTAAAAATACTGCAGTACCTCCGCGCTGGTAAGGAAGCAGCTGCCCCTGAGCCTCTCACCTCCCTTCCCCAGGCATCGCCCCCACCCCACCCCCATGATCAAGCAACATCAGGCACAGCAGAGGGCCTCTCTTACACCCCCACCCCACATAATTCTCCATTCTGATGGCTTGATGCCCATGCCATACTAGTTGTTAAATATTTTTAATATCTCCCCAGCTTGAGTATATGAGCACTTAGACTTCCCCAAAGCTTCTCCAGAAACAGCACCCCCACCCCACATAATTCTCCATTCTGATGGCTTGATGCCCATGCCATACTAGTTGTTACATATTTTTAATATCTCCCCAGCTTGAGTATATGAGCACTTAGACTTCCCCAAAGCTTCTCCAGAAACAGTTGGGGCAGCTGGGTCAGGACAAGAGACATGTTGGGGAAATGGACGAACAGGGATAGGAAAATAACATCAGGCTTATATTTCCCATTCTCAGTGTAAGGATCCTTAGCAGTCTCTTAAGACCTAATCTGCTGGCTGGAGCAGAGGATGGTGCCTGAGGGCAGGAAACCAGCACACCGGAGCCAGGTCCGCTTCCCAGGCCTCCTCTCCCGGCTCCACGTGGAGTGAGGGAAGGAAGGAGAGAAAGGCAGGTGCAGGGCTACTCTTGGGGCCAGGGTTGGGGCTGGGGCAGCCTGCTTGTCCGTCTGCCCCACGTGACCCAAGTCCAAGTTTGTGTTTGGGATGCCCAGGATAAGGATGTTGGGTAGAAGAAGAAAACCGGCAGGAAGAAGGGGTTTCTGGCAGGAACATCCAGTGCCACCAGCATCTCCACTAAACTTGACCCTTGCCCTACCCCAGGAAGAAGCTGGGAGGTGGGGGGAGCCTGCAGCACCAGGGGACAGGGCTGTCTGAGGTGCCTCCAGCTACCCCAAAGTCTCTCCAGCGACCCTGGGAGGAGAGACACATGGTGGGGGCAGGGCAGGAAGGGAAGAGGAAATCAGCGCTTCAGCCAGAAGGTGACACCCCCTCAAAGCTGGGGAAAGGACGGAAGGGCTCCTCCAGCAGCATTCTTCCTTTGTCCCGGTGGAGAACTGAAGCCTTGAAGAGGAAATGCCTCCTCTCTCTGCTCTGCCTCTGGGGTGGCTCCCAGATGCACCTGCTCTCCTCCCAGAGTTCCCAGTTCTGGACTAAAACTGATGTCTGGAAGTGTCCACTGACTTCCCGAGCAACAAATGCATTTCCCCAGTCAGCATCGGGCCCTGCCCAGGCACCACTGACCACCCCTTTCTTCTAATGATGACAGTGACAAACATTTATGGAGCGTCCGTCCATTAAGTGCTGGGCCGTGTGCCAGG